ATTGTATCAAAGGGATACCCGCAACAGCCAAAATATGGAATCAACCAAAGCATCCATTATCACATGAATGGATAAAGAAAATCTCTCTCACACACACACACACACACCATATATATACAGAGTGGAATATTATTCAGCTATAAAAAAGAATTCTACCGTTTGCATAATATTAGATGCAACTAAAGGACATCATTTGAGTGCAGTAAGCTAGACACAGAAAGACACATACCAGATGTCCTTTCTTACATTTGAGAGTTAAAATTAAAAAATTTTAAATATAAGAAGCAAAAGCAAGAATGAAATATCTGTGTGTATCAATACTATTGAAAATAACTTTTGTAAATCTTTGTTTTATAGTTTTGTCAAACCAATTGGTAAGGAGGTAGTATTATAATGGTTTTAGTCATCTATTATTATTTTAAAATTGACTTTGTATGTGAGAAATAGTCATCCTTCCACTTGGTTATTGTTTATAGACTCTGTCTGTTACCACTGAACTAAGACCGCTTTTAATTTTTTTGCTTTTTGCATGATAATCTCTTTATTTGTTAGAGCATAATAGTAAATAAAATGTTACTGCAAAAACTAAACAAGTCAGAAGAAAAAGGAAAAAAGACATAAACTAAACTGGAAGAATGGAAGCTAATACCTAGTACTAATTCTATCAACTATATTCATCTGTTTTTTTGTATTAATATTTTAAGATGAAAAATAAAGTACTTGAAAATATTTACAGAGGTTCAATGCAACAACCATTGATAACTTTTTTTTAAGATTGGTTTATTTTTATTGGAAAGGTGGATATACAGAGAGGAGGAGAGACAGAAAGATCTTCCGTCCTATGATTCACTCCCCAAGTGAGCGCAACAGCTGCAGCTGAGCCAACCCGAAGCAAGGTCTCGAGCTCTTCCAGGTCTCCCACACAGGTGCAGGGTCCCAAGACTTTGGGCCATCCTCCACTGCTTTCCCAGGCCACAAGCAGGGAGCTGGATGGGAAGCAGGGCCACCAGGATTAGAACCAGCGCCCATATGGGATCCTGGCGCGTGCAAGGGAGGACTTTAACCACTACACTATCGCGCTGGGCCCCATTGATGACATTTTTTTTTTTTTTTACAGAACTAGGAAAAATCCTAAAATTCATATAGAACTAATTCAATCCTGAGTAAAACAATCAACCCGAAGCATCACAATACATTATTTCAAAGCATTCTGCAAAGTTAAAGTGATGAAAATGGGCATGATACTGGCATAAGAACAAACTTAGATGAATGTAACAAATTAAAGAGTCCAAAACGTAATCTATGTTCATACAGTCAAAAAGGAGCCAAAAGCACACATTAGAGAGTGTATCTTTTTTTTTTCAGTAAAAGTTGTTGGAAAAACTGGTAAATATGCATAGAAAAATGAAAACGGATTTCTCTGATTACATGTGAAAATCAACTGAAGATGGACCCAAAAAATCTAAATGTAAAAGCTGAAACTATTAGACTACTAGAGGAAAACATAGGAAAAACAATACGAGAAGATGCTGCAGGAAACACTTTTTTTGGATAAGACCCAAATATGAAGACTTGTAACACTGGCATGATACGGCAGAAAGCTAGCACGGATTCCAGTGGCCGCTCTGTTTCAGTTCCAATTTCCTGCTTATGGATCCGGGAAGGCAAAAAGCTTAAGCATTCAATTCATTGTCACCCAGGTGAGAGACTCAAGACTAAATTCTAGGCTTTTGTTTGAAGCCTGGGCCATCCTCAAGTGTAGATATTTTGGGAGTGAACCTGTCAAATGAAATTCTCTCACTCTCTTTCTCTCTCTCTCTGCCTTCCTCTCTCTCAGTTGCTGAGATATGTTACATGCATCAACAAACTGGAAATTTAATAAGGATGCTACATGAACCAATCAGATAACTGACATTGGAGTAGCCTGCTTTGCATAGAATTGTGCTTAGTCTGTTTCACAGATTCTACAAAAAGATTATATTGCGTATATTTAACTCTCTCCTGTCTCCCACAGCCTCGGGGTTCCTGGGGAGTCCATCATGATTTGTTTGTTTCTCTTTCCTTTCATGGACCCTTGAAGTCCCTATCAGTAATGGTAACTGGTTAAGAACAAGGCACGCGTTCCACAGTTTGATGACTCGATTTCAGGTTCTGGTGTGCCAGTTCCTTGGACTGTGAACATATCAGCATCAATCTATTTCTCTGCTTTTAGTTGTGGATGGATGACTAGAAGAACGTGAATTTTGGGATTTCTCCTCTCCCAAGTATAAAGCTACAACTATATGGAGTAGTGCCTTTTCCTTTGCCAAGGCAATTTACATTCTGATAAACCCTCAGCAGGTTAAGCTGTTGGAAAATAGTTTCTCCTGAGGTTAAGCCTTATTAAGTACAACAGAACAGACTGGTGTATTACAAAAATGTTTCCTTTTCCTCTCCGCTGCCAGAAGCACCAAAAGAAGTTTTTTTCTAATATTCAGCATATACATGGTAGAGCACCTGGGGGCAAAACCCACAAAAAAATGAGTTTTTGACAGAGCTCTCCTAAAAGTTTTATCTCTCAGACTTGATCACATTGAGCCCCCAGCACTTCGTAAATTACAGTTTAGATTTCCTCACTCTAGCTCCGATTCTCATAGAGGCTTCTACTTTAATGTGTTTTTATTCTCTGCATCTGTGTACTTGGTGGGGCAGAATCTTGATCTTGGACCTCACTTCTCTGATATATCTAAGAATTGTTGATTTTTCAAGTTATCCAAATTTGTAATTGTTACTAAACTGCATTGGCAACTTCTTAGTACTTTACATGCCAGGCCAGAACTGGAAGTACCACATATTTTTTTTAAAGATTTATTTTTATTTTTATTGGAAAGGCGGATACACAGAGACGAGAGACAGAGAGGAAGATCTTCCATCCGATGATTCACTCCCCAAGTGAGCGCAATGGCTGGAGCTGAGCCGATCCGAAGCCAGGAACCTCTTCCGGGTCTCCCACGCGGGTGCAGGGTCCCAAAGCTTTGGGCCGTCCTCGACTGCTTTCCCAGGCCACAGGCAGGGAGCTGGAAGGGAAGCGGGGCTGCCGGGATTAGAACCGGCGCCCATATGGGATCCCGGGCGTGCAAGGTGAGGACCTTAACCACTGCGCTATCACGCCAGACCCCACTTATTTTTAATTCACAACTTCCTATTCTGTGCTGAAATATCCATCCTAGCTATGTTAGCTACATTTGTTTTCATGTTTGTGTTCAGTAATACAAACATCAGAATTTCTATATACCTATTTTTGTTATTTAATTTTCTGTTGCTATTGGCCACTTGATCTTAAGTCACAGTATGCATGCTGTTTTTATTTTAGGCAATGGATTATGTACGAAATGATGTAGAGATACACTGAGGGTCAGAATTGTAGTCTTCTTTCAAAGACGATTTACTTTTGCTTCCTTCCTGTAATCATCATATGGTCATTTCACCTCAGAAAATTACATGCCTGATCTGATTAGCAGCTAGGTTTCATGTTTTGGTTCCTTAAAATGTATCCCTCAGATGGCTTAAAAATGAAAGCCTGGGATGCTTAAGTGATAGTCCTATCCTCACTGAGCTTTGAAATCCAGTTATCATTTCTAGCTTTGTGAAACTGTTCAAAACGCTGTTTAAAAGTACATATGGTTAGTTATTGCATTAGGGAAAAGGTGAAGTGACTGAGCTGTCTCCTTGGCATATTAGGTTAGTCTTCTCCCTGGGATACTGGGACCCCATGTGGATACCAGTTCTTACTCTGAATGCTCCACTCCTGATGCAGCTCCCTGCCAATGGCCTGGGAAGACAGCCAGAGATGAGCCTAAGCGCTTAGAATCCTGCATTCCACATGAGGTGCCCAGCCGGAGCTCCAGGCTCCGGGCCTCAGACTGGCCCAGCTCCGGCTGGGCAGCCATTTGACAAGTGGACCCCAATGCGTGCATGATGCTCTCTCTATTCTCTCTGTGTCGTCTGGATTTGCCTTTCACATAAAAATAAAATAAATCTTTTTGAAAAGGGAAGTGGGACTTCATTACTATTCACCTTTTTTTCTCTTTGTTTCTGGATATTGTCCTTTCAGATTCTCTCTGCCTTACTACCTCTTTCATGCACTATAATATTACATGAATAATTTCCAGGGTTTTCTATTTGTTCTATGCATAGTGGTTTGTGGCTTTCACTGATTGCAACGAAATTCACATTACTTATCCACATTTTGGCTAAGATCAAATGAAATAAAATTCACATAGATGAATCAAGAGTTAACTTTCCTACACAGAACATCATCAATTAATTACTTAACCAAGATCTTCCTTGGTTGAAGGAGCTGTTGCTTCTACTGAGATTTGAGGAAAGAACATTTTCAGTGGATAGTTTATAGAACGGCCATCATTAGACCTATCGGTTAATTGCTTATTGCTATTGCTAGAACTGTCGAGAAAACAGTTTAAACTTGTACGTTTCTCCACAACTTTCCACAGATGCTCATTTAAAGTCTAAATTCCAAAAATATTTTAAAATGGCTATTATATATATGAATATATATAGTGGTTAGAAGACATTCGTTTATTATTAAACCTTAACTTAGATGCTTCCATGAAACATTTTTGTTTTGGGAAATCCATACTTGACCTTAAGAAAAAAAAAATGATTGCTCTATGTGATGTCAGTGGGCCTTAACCCCCAGCTCACAACCTGCCCAGAAAGTAAGGCAGCAGAAGCTGCCGAAAAACAAAACGGCCGGTGTAACTGCCCCAGAATCGCATCACAGTCTCTGCACTGCTCCAGAAGGATGCTGAGAGTAGTGAACCGGTCTTTGTGGGCCAACCCCGGGGTGCTGTAACACCACAGGAAGGGCTCCTTCGTCACTTCCTGTCGCTCCTTGGTAGCCTTCCCTGGGGACGAAATCTCTGCTACCCACAGACTTGACTTCCACTGGCCCCTCAGAAGTTTCTGGATTCGGCCTCAGCGCCATCTTGTGTGTGAAAATGGCGAACATCATCAGCCACAAGAGCCAATTTGTGGTGGGAGGCAAGTACAAACTGCTGAGGAAGATCGGGTCAGGAGGCTTTGGGGAGATTTACCTTGCGATTAACATCACCGACGGCAGGCAGCTGGCCGTGAAGTTAGAATCGCAGACTGCCAACAGTCCAAAACTGCTGGAAGAGAGCAAACTGTACACGATTCTTCAGGGTGGGGTTGGCATCCCTCGCATCAAGTGGCAGGGCCAGGAAAACGGCCATAATCTGCTAGTCATGGATCTTCTTGGGCCCAGCCTCGAAGACCTCTTCAATATGTGTTCTCGAAAGTTTACGCTGAAAACCGTGCTTATGTTGGCAGACCAGATGATCAGTAGAATTGAATATGTGCACAAGAAGAATATCATACATGGGGACATTAAGCCGAGTAACTTTCTAATGGGCACTGGCTGTCACTGTGAAGCATGTTTGGAGAATCCAGGGAGAAAGAGGAAGAGAAGCAGGACTGTTGGTGTTTGTAATGGTCCACCGTCCTCAGAGAAAGTTCAGCTCTTCCTTATTGATTTTGGTCTAGCCAAAAAATACAGAGACAAAAGGACAAACCAGCACATTCCATACAGCAAGAGTAAGAAGTTCACTGGCACCCCTCAATATGCTAGCATCAACGCACTTTTCCGTGTTGAGCAGAGTCGCCGAGATGACATGGAGTCTATAGGCTATGTTTTGATGTATTTTAATAGAGGCAACCTGCCCTGGCAACGACTGAAGGCTGAAACGGCCAATCAAATGCTTGAAAAAATTCGTGAAAAAAAGATGTCCGTGCCTGTTGAAGTTCTGTGTCAGGGGTTTCCTGATGAGTTCGCCACCTATTTGAACTACTGTCGTGCGCTGCAGTTTGAGGAAGCCCCCAATTACATATATCTGAGGCAGCTTTTCCGCAAGCTCTTCAGGACCAAGCACTACAAATATGACTACACCTTTGATTGGAATGTGTTAGCGGAGAGAGAAGCAGAGCAGGCAGCATCTTCCAACAGCAGGGGCAGCAGACTCAGAGCCTTAAAGGCAAGCAAACCTATAAGAGCAAGAGTAACATAAAAGGTTTCTAAGCAGGAACTGTGAAACAGAAGAGGCACTGCACATAATTGGAACAGCATTTGTTGCCCCACAAATCTTGAAACTGTTTTTGTTATGTCCACTAACCAGTGGTTGTAATCAACCACTACTTGGGAAAAGATCTACATTTCATTATAAACAAGCTTTAGGCAGCGTTGGTGATGTGTTATGTATCCTGAGTTGTATTTGGTTTAATTGTATTATGAGATAGTGAAACACGGCGTCTGGCTGTATCAAATGTAGAAGTTAACTAGATGTTTGACACACATGTTGGTATAGAACTTGTGCACATGTCAATGTTTTGTTAAGATTTTTAACTGAGCTATGCTGCTTTGAAACCTTTTTGCAAATTAGACTTGAATAGTCTGCAGCCACAGTTGTGACAGTTGAAAATTCTCACATTTTTGGATTATTAGGGTTTCTTTGTATACTCCTAGAGATGCAAGTTGCTAACTCAAAAAATTGTTAAAATGGCTGGCTTTTGGTTAGTGGATAATGGTGGCAACCAAAAACTCCCAGTGTTTGAGCTTATGGGAGTAAATATGCTTGCCTATGAAAAAAATAGCAATATATTTCCTTTTTATTTTTGTTTGTAGTCCTTCCCATATTACCATTGAATTAATCTGTTGTTTAAGTAAATGTAATCATTTAAACATCTAAAAAAATAAAGATTCATGCTTATGCCAGATTTCTTTATTGTAATTGCCTTTGGGAACAGAAATGCAAATAGAAACAATGAATATGCTAATTTCCCCCACTCTGCCAACAGAGTATAGTTAATCTTCACATATGGCCTAAAGCCCCATATCATATCAAATTGATGATTCCCATAAATATTTTCTTCGTTTCCACAATATCAAATATAAGGCTACTATTTCCAGGTAAATCTTTGAACAATGAGAGGGATATATTTCAAGGAACTTTACTCTTGGATTACCACTGTTATAATAATCCTAATAAGTCAAAATTAGAAATTGTTCACAAATGATATTTTGCTAATTTTTTTGAAAAAATTTTAACATTGTACAATATTTCTTTAATGCATAATTTTTACACTACTTTTTATTTTTGAAAGAAGCAATAGCTATGTTTCTATCACATAACAGATTCATAACTAAGATCATGAAGTGAGAAAGAACTATATTTTCAATAAACAAATATAATTCAAATTGGACATGTATAAATATCTACATAAGAAATACAACAACATTTTAAAAGTATATGCATATGTTAAAATTAACATACATAAAATCAACTTGTCTGATTTTTCAATTTAATCTCATCCGATCCAGATCCATTCAGTCTGTTGCATATATCAGGATTCCATTCTTTTTTATGGTTGAGTGATATTTCAGTGTGGATACAGGGAGGAGGATACCTACTATTTTCTTTAATCATTCATCAGTTGAGACACCTAGCCTGAGTGACTGATTCTAGGCCTTTGTTAGTGTAAATAACTACATGGATAATTGTAGTCCAATAAATATGGACTTCTGTGTATATTCTGTATACTGACATAATTTCCTTTGTATTAGCTGGATCATATGGCAGGTACATTTTTAGATTTTGAAAAACACATACAGCTCTGTCTCTCAGGCAGTGAATTAATAAGAAGTTAGAATTTGAAAGCCAGTTGGGCATTGAAGCAATACGCTCTGAAATGTCACCCACCTCATAGGGTACTGATTGCTGTAACATCCTTCTTAGCAATACTTTTGTTATATTTCACTTTCTGCTATATTGCGTAGTCTTTTTTTTTTAAAGATTTATTTTTATTATTTTTTTATTGGAAAGGCGGATATACAGAGAGGAGAGACAGAGAGGAAGATCTTCCGTCCGATGACTCACTCCCCAAGTGAGCGCAACGGGCCGATACTATGCCGATCCGAAGCCAGGAGCCTCTTCTGAGTCTCCCACGCGGGTGCAGGTTCCCAAAGCCTTGGGCCGTCCTCGACTGCTTTCCCGGGCCACAGGCAGGGAGCTGGAAGGGAAGTGGGGCTGCCGGGATTAGAACTGGCGCCCATATGGGATCCTGGGCGTGCAAAGCTAGGACCTTTAACCACTTGCGCCACCGCGCCGGGCCCAATATTGCGTAGTCTTAATTAGATTCATGAATTCTTTATTTTATTTCTTGTCTTGACTTGCCGTTGCTTCAGGAGCATGTATTTGTGTAACTTACAGAATTTCTTTTGTTTTGATGTCCAGTCTTATTCCATTATGGTTAGAAATGATACATTATATCTATCCATTTATATCTATATCTGTATCTATGTCTATAGATATAGATAGGTAGATGTTGTTTTTTAATACATCTGCACAGCATTTATAATGAAACTTTAATATAACTACTGATGAAATTCTTAAAATATGATTCTAAAATTAACAAACTACCCAAAATATAAATGAATAATGTCAACATTTCTTTATGTGTTAAAATGTAACTGTAAGTGAAAAATTTTCACAAAAAAATTTGCTGAGAATGAGTTTCACAGGTAAGTTGTATTGAACAGTCAAGGAAGTGACAACATTCAACAACACTCAAATACCTTCAAGGATGAGTATTGTGAAAAGTCATTTCAGGTAAGTAATTAAAGGCCCATACCCATATTTAACCAAATGTACAGGCAACTAACTGTATGTTTAAACACTTTCAATTATTTTAAAAAAATTAGTCTTTAGTAGGTTTACTATGAGTTGTAGATATAATTGTAAGAACATAATGACAACGAAATTCTCTCCGTCCCTTTCCCATTTCCTCCCACGCCCCACCACATTTCTCTCTCCCTCTTTGTCCCGCCCAAACTTTTTTTTTTTCCTGTGCCCGCTGTCTCAAGCTGCCAATTTCTGTCTGCCTTGCTTCATGGAAGTTCATAAGTTGAATTTGGTGTTGGACCTGGCACAATTGCTCAATGGCTAAATCCTTGGCTTGAAAGTGCAAGGATATCCTGTGGATGCCAGCTCCTGTTCCAACGGTTTCACTTCCTATCAGGCTCTCTGCTTTGGCCTGGGAAAAGAGTAGAAGATGGCTAAAATCATGTAGAGGCCCTACATGTGTGTGGGAAATCTGGAAGAAGATTCTGGCTCCTGGTTCCTGAAGAGCTCACCTCTAGCAGCTATGGCCACATGGTGAGTGAACTAGCAGACAGAGCTTTCTGTCTCCACCTGTCTGTAAAATCTACCTTTCTAATAAAAGTTAAAAAACAGAATTTATATCATCCTTTAGACCTGCCAAGATTTGTAATACCACATGTTATGACATCAGGTGCATATACAATTATAATAATATCTATTTGTTCAAAAGATTTGTCCTTCTCACCTTGTGACTTTTTTTTTCACTTTCAAACATTTCTCTTAAAGCTTATTTTCTCTCATGTAAATAAAATAGAATTGCTACATTTTGATGTTATTCCCAACAGAATAACTTTCCCCAGACTTTCATATTCAACGTATGTGTGTCTTTACTGCTGAAGTAACATCCTAGCAGACAGAAATGGTTGCTTTTTTAAAAAAATTAATTCAATGAATTTGTATCATTTAATTGGGGAATTTAGTACCTTCACAGTCTACATTATTGTTCCTAGTTATTCAGTCCAATCGTTTTTATTCTTTAATGTCCTTTAGCTTGTTTGAAATATCCTCTGTTCTTTTCCCAGCTGTTTTCCTGCTTCAAAATTCTTCTAAGATGAAGGATTTCTTTTTGTTTTACTAAGTACATCCTTGCACCCTGTGTAAGGTTGGTCAGATGATAATGATTTCCCTTAGATTTTGCTTATCATGGAAAGTCTTTGATGCACCTTCAGTTTTAAAATGAGCTTCGATGGGTGATCACACTGTGTAGGCAGCTTTTTTTTTCTTTTGTGCAGATTGATTCATTTATGTGATAGACAAAATTACAGAGAGAGTGAGAGAATGACAGACACAGAAATCTTCCCTCTGTGATTCACTGCTTGTATGATACAAAAATTTGGAAGGGACCAGGCTGAGGCCCGGGTCCTGGAACAGAATCTGGGTCTACAACAAATGGGTTCCAGTACTTTGACTATCCTCTACTGTTGACTCAGGCACATTAGCAGGGAGCAGGCATCCCATTGAGGCATAACTTGCTATGCCAAAAGGGCAGCTCTTGGCAGGAAGTTTACTTTCACGACTTGGTCTATAGCTCTCCATTGTCTCCAGACCTGTAAGATTTCTACTGAGAGACATGGACATCATGCCTGAAAAAATTTGACAGAGGTTCCCTGCTCTTGCTTCAGGCACTCATGAGTCATGTTTCTTGCGGTCAGGGGATTGCAGGCATTTGGGCTAGATGCTAATCTCGAAGTTGATGGGGCAGGCCTCTTTACTTCTCAGGTCTGTGTATCCGATTCCCTTTGTCTGTTACCTGTTCAGTTACACAATGCTGTGGGTTGGGTTGCCAGCATTCCCTTTGCTTCCTTAGTCACAGATGGACATTTTAGGCTCTGTCTTGAGTTTTAAGATACAGGGATATTTGTAGAGCCTGCAGAAAGAAGATGCTCCAGGTCTCCCATCCACTAGTGCAGTACAGAGTCCAATGAGAACTCCTTTCTCAAGAAGAATCTCCATGCTCGCAACCTGTGCTCTGAGCGTTGATGGGAAGGAGCTGCTGTGAGTAGCTTCTGTGAAGAAAAGCAGTTGCAAATTTTCCAGGGAACTTTCCTCACTGAGAGTTTGTCTGTGGTGACTGGACCTCCCAGGTGAGGCCTGCCTACACATGTCCCTCCTGAGGATAGCCTTCTGCAGGGTACAGGCTGTTCAGATTCCCCTGCGACAAGGCATTGCCCTGTCTGTAGGGGTCGGAATTCTTTGCGTGGTTGCCTCCCTCACTCTCTAAATGCTGCAGTCCCTGGTCTTGAACATCCTACTGCATTTCTATTTGGCAGGTGCTCTTCCTTCTGCACTCATCTGAATGGGTACCTGGGTTTTCTCGCTCTAGTAGGAGATGAATACACTCTTCAGCCTTCTTTAAACCCCC